ATTTTCACATTCAGGGAAGACTTTTCGGGAAAGGTGACCTTTGGATGAGGCGTGTGGATACTGTAGGTAGGGTTTTGTATGCAGAGGAGGAGTCAGGACCTGAAGTGCTGGGCCTTAAACCAGGACCACTGAGTGGGACCTGAGGCCTGCTGAGAACAGGATCTAAAGAGCCCTGGACACTCGCTGGGAGACAGGCTGCCCTCTGAGGGACACGCCCTGGGGATACAGTGGTGCCAAGGCACACAAAACCAGGCTGGAAGCCTCTCACAGTCAGCCTGGGGGGATTCAGCCAGAGGACAGGATTTTCTTTAATGATCCAACTTCCTCTCTGCCCCACAGGCTTTGTTCTATCCGCACATAGTGTGTGACTTGGCTGGGCTTCCACTGCCCTGCTTGTGTGGTTTGAGCGACAGGCTGCAGGAGGAGAGTTACCTCTGGAATCATCATTGCTTGAGGTTCCACCAAAAAACAGACCCTGAAAATCTTAAGGGCAAAAGTCTGGGGACAATTCACTGTTGAGGAGTGGTCCTCAACCCTTGCAGTATATCAAAGCTGCCTGAGAAGACTTTACAGTTAGATAAAGTCCCAGCTTAGACATTGGGCTTCACTTAATCACAGGTGGGATACAAGTCCATGACTTTTTTTTAATTAAAATTTTTTTCTTTGCCATGCCACATGGCTTATAGGATCCTAGCTCCCTGACCAGAGATGGAATCCATGTGCCCTGCAGTGGAAGTGCAGAGTTCTAGCACTGAACCACCAGAAAGCCAAAGTGTGAAAGTATCAGTTGCTCAGATGTGTCTGAGCACAGACTGTAGCCTGCAGACTCCTCTGTCCATGGGATTCTCCAGGCAAGAGTGGGTAGCCATTCCCTGTTCCAGGAGATCTTCCCTACCCAGGGATTGAACCTGGGTTTCCTGCATTGCAGGTGGACTCTTTACTGTCTGAGCCACTAGGGAACTGCCAGGACATCTCCTAAGTTTGCTACATTTTAAAACCTCTGCTGGTTTTAAATCGGCAGCCAGGGTAGACAACCACAGGTTCAGAAGAACCTGCCTCACATCTAAGTACATTTCTGCAAGACAAAGTGATGTAATGTTTCCCAGCACTGATTTCCAGTAAGACTCCTTAGCACAGGGTTCACCCCGCCGCCCACAGAATTCAGTACACATGCCAGACGCTTCTGTGACAAGACCTGACATTTTCAGAATCACTGGAGAGGACAAGCAAATTCATCACTGATGGTGGCTTTTCTTTCTTGCCCCCGATTTCCTTGTTAATTTATCTGTCGTTGTCCTACTAAGTGAACAGGAAGATCGCTTTGTTCGTGGGGTGACATGGTTGTTTAGGGTGGATCTGACCGAAGTGGGCTTGTCTAGTGCACATAACAGAAAAGATAAGGACTCACCATCTCTCCTCTGACATCACACACTTAAGGCTATTTTAGCAATGAGGGTCTTGATTCTGACAACTCTCCAGGGCATCAACACATGAACCTAACTGGGTTTCAGAACAGAAAATAATTCCTATCAAGACTCTTTTTATCCCCAATCCTTCCTTTCATATTTTCTCCCTCTTGGGCTTTACATTTTTTAAAAAAAATATACTTTGTTGAGTTTTCCCTGGTGATCCTGTGGTTAAGACTTCACAGTTCCAATGCAGGGGATGTGGGTTCGATTCCTTATCAGGGAACTGGGATCCCACATGCCGTGTGGCATGGCCAGAAAAATATTTTGCTTGATAGATAACACAGGAATGATTCATTTTCCCCTCCTATAACTGCATATCTATTTAGAATTAGCCACACTCATACTTGTTATGAGTTTTCACCCTCTATGGCTGTCTGGCCAACCAGAAGCAGACAGTGTGTGATTTACTAACTCTGGATGTCTTGCCTTGAGTGAAACAGTTAATGTTTTGCATGACTTTTTTTGAAATTCTGCTTTACAGACCCTATTCCTTCCTCTGAAAGTGAAAGTGAAAGCCGCTCAGTCGTGTCTAACTCTTTGCGACCTCAAGGACTATATAGTCCATGGAATTCTCCAGGCCAGAATACTGGAGTGGGTAGCCGTTCCCTTCTCCAGAGGATCTTCCCAACCCAGGGATCAAACCCAGGTCTCCCACGTTGTAGGCAGATTCTTTACCAGCTGTGCCACAAAGGAAGCCCAAGAATACTGGAGTGGGTAGCCTATCCCTTCTCCAGCAGATCTTCCCAGCCCAGGAATTGAACCAGGGTCTCCTGTATCCTGGCATGCTGTGGTTCATGGGGTCGCAAAGAGTCAGACATGACTGAATGACTGAACTGAACTGCTGCACTGCAGGTAGATTCTTTACTAACTGAGCTACCAGGGAAGCCCCTTCCTTTCTCTGAGGATTTTTAATTGGTGATCACAGGCCTATAGTGGTGAATTCCAGTTTTAAGAGTTGAGAGGAACCATGGCAGGTCCATTCATAAAGCCACATGGCAACTACTTTGGGCCAGAAACAAAAGACTGATACAACAATGAAAATACTGTCTTTGTTTCTTAAATGAAATCAATCTGGATGGCAAATACTGTAGAACATGGGTCCATGATGCACCCTGTAGCTGGAATCTATCTTCCAAGTTCAAAACTTAACTCAGGTTGAAATAGAGGTCAGGGAACCCATCTCATTCCCCCATCTTTGGCATTTAGAAAAGAGTAGTGGGTTAACTCAGTCACAGAGAGTGAAGTGGCTGGTCTAGCAGAATTTTCTGGGTAAGTAGGTTCATGTAGACAATTCCAAATGGTGATAAATGACAAAGTCAAGAACACAGAAGTGAAAGCTACACAGGCCCAATTAGAGGTTGCACCAGAGCCTAGACCAAGCTGAAGGCCCAAAGACCAAGCTGTGATTCCCAGCATGAAATAAATTATATTTTATAAAGTCATGCAAAGCAAAACTATCTAATGAGGAACATCTGATTAGGAAGACTCTGATTCTAAAGTCTTTTTTTTTTTTTTAATTTAGGCTGTGCTGGGTCTTCATTGTGGGGCACAGGCTTCTTTTCGAGTATGGCACGCAGGCTTAGTTGCCTTGTGGCATGGAGGATCTTAGTTCCCTGACCAGGGATTGAACCTGTGTCCCTTGCATTGGAAGGATGATTCTTAACCACTGAACCACCAGGGAAGTCTCGTGAAGGCTTTTTTGAAACACAGATTGTAGTTTTCATTTTCTGTCTCTTTCAGTCCTTTGCTTTCAGTTCTACTACTATTCTAGTAGTTATGTATGGATGTGAGAGTTGGACCATAAAGAAGGCTGAGCTCTGAAGAACTGATGCTTTAGAACTGTGGTGCTGGAAAAGACTCTTGAGAATTCCTTAAACAGCAAGGAGATCAAACCAGTCAATCCTAAAGGTAATCAATCCAGGATATTCATTGGAAGGACTGATGTTAAAGCTGAAGCTTCAATACTTTGGCCACCTGATGCAAAAACTGACTCATTGGAAAAGACCCTGATGCTGTGAAAGACTGAGGGCAGGAGGAGAAGGGGACGACAGAGGTTGAGATGGTTGGATGGCATCACTGACTCAATGGACATGAATTTGAGCAAACTCTGGTAGTTAATGAAGGAGAGGGAAGCCTGGTATGCAGCAGTCCACGGGGTCAAAAAGGGTGAGATAAGACTTAGCAACTGAACTGAACTAACAATATCCTGCCATAAAAGCTCCCCTCTTTGCCCTACCTCCCCTACTGATTCTGGCTGTGGAATAGACCTTGGTCCTTGTCTTCTCTGAAGAAAGAATTCAACAAAGAGACAAAATTTATTAGAAGCACAGTATGTGGAAAGCACATGGGGAACCTGGAGTAAGCTTGCACAATAGAAGGCTGCTTATTGGGGGCAGTTTTCCAGGTTGTCTCTGGCCAATCATCTCGCTTGTGCCCATCTTTTGTCTTTCAAAGGGCAGCAGGAAGCCAGCTTCAGGTGCTCAGCCTGGAGCCTATCTAACTCCTACCTCATTACCAGAAGTCAGTATAAACAAGAAATAGTCATGAAAGCTGGTGTGTTCAAGGAAGAAAGTGAGAAATCTAAAAGAACAGTGAAATCTACAGATTCCATCTACTGCACTTGTATCGCCAGACAGGAAAAGAAAAGGAATGTGGAGAAGAGAGGCATCCAATGTGTCTCATTAAAAATACAGAAATACACCCTAGCTCTGTCTGCTCCCAGGTTCCCAATAACCTATGCTTAGTTTACATTTGGAAGCTTCCAGTTTAGACTCCAATCCTATCTTTGATGCTTCAGAAGTTGGCTGAAACTTTACTATGGTGCCTACTGGTTATTTGATTCAAGGCTGCCATTCAGTACACGCCCAGTAAACTCTGTGAAGCCAAGGCCCTTGTCTGATTTTGCTCCTCACAATGCCTGGGTCAGTAGAGAAGGGGAAGCCCAAGCCCTGTTTGGGTGGAGATGGGGAATGGGATCCAGCACCAGGTAGGGGTTGGCCATCGCTCACAGTAACAGGAGAAAAGGGAGAACATTCAGGCAAATAAGCAAGGGGGATGGGTGTGCAGCTGGTGGGAACACTTGGATGAGCTCCTCTGCTTGCTTCTGTTAGCTCAAAGAAACAGGAAGCAAGTTCATCAGGAAGCTCGAGAGGAGAAGGGTTTGATGAGAAAGGAAATGCTGTGAAAGCCTTTTAGAAGAGTAGAAAAGTGGATGGAAGAGGCACATAGAATATGATTTCTGGGCAGCACTGAGGGCCAGCTCATCATGAATTTAGGGTGAGACTCATCAGCAGGGGTTTGACCAAATTCAGCTACAGATGCAGGTGTAGGAATGGAGAGCTGAGGTTGTGTGGGGTAAGTATGATAAATATTTACTGAATCAGATCGAACTGAATGGAACTTACATCCTGTCACCACAGAGGGTTGAGAAGCCAGTGTTCTCTTAGGATCCACCCGCCTGTCCCACCCAGGTTTCAGTTTCATCATCTTTAAGGAAAAGATCCACAAAACCCAGAATTCTGAAATACTCACCGCCCTTCGAATCTGTGTTTTAAAAAATCAAACAGTGCTTTTTGCATCATATCTGTGACCTGCAATTGAGCAAGCAATAAGACATGAAAAAACATTACTAATTATGATAAAACAGTCTTATTCCTCTTAATGTTAAAAATCAAGGCTTCCCAATGGGAAAATTTAGCATGTGAGGGTCACTCCCTTTTTCTGTGGCTGAGCTTTGATACATTAACAATGAAACAAAACAAAGTTCCCCAAACTCACTCTTGGAGGGATAATTAACAACATTGCAAGGGGCTTCCATCATTCTCCATTTGACACTCTCTCCCCAGACTGAGTCAACTGTGGTATGCATACATCTCCAAGGCAACAGCCAAGGAAACAAAATAGAACAGAACAGTAGCAATGTACCCCATGGCTTAAAAACAACATGCTTTGCTGCCACCAGCTTTTTTCCAAGTTCAAGAGTCAGGAGAGGGAGGTGTGCAAGGTCAGGTCAGCATGCAAGGTCAAGGATGTGCCAGAGGGCAGCTACCTACCTCGTACCCCTTCAGAGAGGGGCCCACCAGGACCACAGGTCGCATAGAAGGGACCACATCATACGGAGGGGTGTGCTCTGTCTGCAGAGAGAGGAGACGCCTTCAGATGGTTAAAAGGCAGAGGGAACTCAAATATATAATTAGCACATAATTAGCACATACTGTTCTTTCTCAACTCTGTGATACCAGGCACTAACTTCCCAGAAGCTGCCATTCTTTTTGCACTGGCTTCTTTTGCTAAATAAACCCAACCCAAGACTGGGTGGTTTTATTTCCCTCAGGTTTCAAAGTGACTGAGTTGTCTACAGTTTTCTGGCTCTCCTCAAATGCTCCTGATGTTCCTAATGCAGGAGGGGCTGCTTTTGAACAAAAAACTAGTTAGAACAGACAGAAACATGCCTCATGCAGGAGAGGTGCTTTTAAAGGCTTGACCGGAGGTTAATACTGCTTTTCAGATGCATTTGAGTTTTCTCAAGAGTTGAATGATCAGACTTCATGTGGTTAATGACCAAGAAAAGAAAGGTCTTTGGGTCTTAGACGGTGGTCTTACCTGGATAAAACCTTGGTTTTTTGTGACCAAATACTTGACAGTTTCTATTTTGCTGTGAGAGTTTGGAGGCGCCTGCATGCTTGTTTCAGTAAATGGAATCATGATCACTCTTCACAGCTGATGGATTTATATTTTTAGGTTTTTGGTTTCTATCCTTTGGAACTTAAACACTTACAATGTCAGGTTTATGGGTCTTGGAGGGAAGACGATTCTCATGCGGTTAAAATATCTGAGCAGGCCTCCATGGCCTCACAAGGTTCATTGTCATCTTGCAGTTCTCATGTGCTTCTCAAGAACTGTTTAGGAGGTGTTTCTGTTATATAACTAACTCATTCCCTCCCACAAGAATTTATTTCTTTTTTAGAAGAGCAGGGGGAGGACCTAACTTTGTAGCCATTTCTAAAACTTGCAACAATTTTCAGCTCTTCTGCTTCTAATACAATAATGACAAGAAAGCTTTCCCCTCTAATTAGATAACTTATTTGTTTAAAGATCTTAAAATTGGCTATTTTAATAGCAGAAAATGTTAAAGTGACTGGGAAAAAAATGACTTTTATTTAGTGTGGAAGACAAAACTATGGCCTAAGACACTGTGACACTCAACGCACACTCCTGCATTGAGGAGTGTCTGAAAAATACATATACGTTAAGAACCACACAGACCAAAAGAAAAATCTTCTCTGAGCTACTGGAAGAATTTAGTCAACTGATTGCAAATGTGAATGCCATTTTTGCATCAGGCTGTGTCAAGAACACATTGCTATTGCTTAAGATGGCCCTTTACCAACTTTATGACTTGAATCGAATTTCATTTGCTTAAGGGCATGGCGAGGGGATGAAAAAGCATTTCAAATTCAAAAGTTTCCATCGGAGTTTTGCCCATGGTCATGGACAATAGAATCTGAGGGGAGAAAATATGACTGTGACTCTGCTGTCTCAAATTTTACTGCTGAAAGCTTTATCTAGTGTTCAAAATGAATTTTAATAGATACAATCAAGGTAGAATACATTTTTAAACAGAAAAAAACAACAACAACAAACCCAAGACAAACATAATACAGTGACAGCACAAAGGCCACACAAGCATCACTCTAAAAGCAACCTAAAACATGGAAAACAATCTTATCATTGCATCTCAGGTTGTTTTCTTTTTTTGTTGGTTTTTGTTTTTGAAAGGTCTATATTGAAGCTGACCACATCATTAATAACATAAGAAGAATGAATATCAGTGCCGAAGGCATCATAAGCATATTCATGAGATTATGACATGAAATTAATTCAGCAAAATTATTCAATTATTGCATTTATACCACCTGGGATCAGATTGAAAATATTTAGAAGCCAAGTCCTTGTAACTATGAGGTCTAAGAATACCTTTCCCATCATTATAATTAGGAATATCAGTTGCATGCATTTTAGCTCCCAAGAAATTTTATTTCAAGTCTTTAAATATTCAGTGGCCCAGTATTAGATGGGTCTTGGGTTCCTTCGATTTGTGACTGCCAACTATTAATAGCAATGTTGCTAATCAATCAGCTTCTTCATTAGTAGGGTAGCTACAGAAATTACCTTATTTGATGGAATATTGGAACTTTATGCCCTATGGATCAGGACACCATCCTTTTTATCTATCCTCTCCTGCTAAGTGTAATTTGTTCAAAGTATTTAATGGAAGAATTACAATAAACATTTTTCATGTTTTGGAATTTAGGAGTCAGCAAACTTCAGAAAAACCTATCAATGAACACGGTTTCATTCATGTTCCTATTGGGTAAAGCTCAGAGCAGCTGAGCAATGCTGAATTTTTAGGTTTCTGCTGCCCTGAACCCTGTTAAGTCACCTGGCTATAAGTTTTAGTGGTGACAAGAAGAAAGGACCAGAGAAATGGACCCACTGTCGTGGATGGATAGTTGGCTGTGGCTTTTGGTGCTCACACAAAAATCCAGGGGTTTTAATTTTTGCTTGGAGTATCTCGGTCTTCCACAATGAAAGCAAACACAATTTATTTTGAAAAACAAAACCAAACAGAGTTCAGCATCTGACAGCTCACTGATGACTCAGAGTTCCTCCACAGGGCAGAATCCTACTGTACAGAGGAGAAGGGCTCAGGGCATGGAGAGCTGGAGGCAGAGGAGATTCTACTCCATGCCCACATGTGTCATGAGAGGTTGTGCTGCACTTGCTGACATTAGAAAGAAAGATTCTAAAGACAGCACAGCACAGCAGGCGGTGGACAGTGGTGTATAAAAGAAAGAAAGGAGTGGGGATTGTGGCGGGGGGCACTATCCTTAAAAAATAATGCTTCAGAGCTACAAAATGTGCTTGGAAGAAACAGATTTTGGAGTCAAAAGAGCTCAGCAGTACCCTAGTTTCCAGTTAGGGAACCAAGAGGATCACTGGGTAGCATCTTGGTTGGCCAGTGGCAAAGGCTCTACGCACGGCCACTGTGTCACCATCCGACAGGTGGGATGCTGAGATCTGAGTGACGGAAGAGGCAAGAACATGGGGAGAGGATTTATATATGACAATAGGAAAAACTCACAGTAAACCGCCAAAACAAGCCTGCAGTTTTCCACTGGTCTTGTTCATCTGCAGATTTTGCACCTAGTGGATTAGAAGTTTAAATAACTGACTAAATTAAAAATTGAAGAATTGAAAAAAAATTTTTTTTTTAGTACAAGCTATGTATCTGGATATCATAAATCAGAATCGAATAATGGTTTTTCATATGCTTGATTATCAGTTAAGTTTCCGGAGGAAAGAAAGTGATAGAGACAGAAGCATGCACGAGAGAGGTGCATTACAAATGGAGTCTTCAGCATTGGACGTTCCTAGAATGTTGGAACGAATGCCCTTGGTGGTAGCTGTTATTCCATCAAAAAGGCTAAGTACTGTAATGGTGCTTCCACAGGTCACTCACTGAATTTAGCTGGTCTGAATGGACTTAATTAGCTGCTTGATACATTCTTTTCTTAGGACAGAAATGATTGTGTTGAATATTAACTGTGGGACTGAATGCTAATGATGCCAGGGGCAGGATAAACACAGCTCATGTCAATGTGAACTTACCGATTTCTGCTTCTGCTTAGCTACAGCAGCATGGAAAAGAAACAAAGAATAACAAAGCATGCATGTTATTGGCTTTATCAAGGACGCAGACAGTCCACAGGACTAGAAATGTGACGCAGTGCAGTTGAGCGCGTGGACAGACGCAAGCTTGGAAGTTCATGTTACCTTCTTAAAGAAGGGCATTCTTTTCTCTTTGGAGTGGGGTGACGTTACACTGTTTGCACTGGGTTTAGGGGAGCGGTGGTTTGCTGGAATATCATTGTCTTCTGCATCTAAGCCAGTAGCATCTATGTCTATAGCTATATACAGACAAACAATTCAAAAATCATCAGGTAGATGGGAGAGGAAAAATTGGTTATCAAAAAAATAAAACAAAAAGCAAACAAAACTAATCACAGTCAAAGATCTATCACACAGTGCTAAGCACAGTCAACAAAGTAAAGTTTCAAGGTAAAACACATAAAGAATGTCATCAAATTAAACAGAAAGATCCTCTCATAATATCTATGTGCTTGGATACATTTGTTTCATGCTCAATCTCTTGAATAAGATTTTGTTTTTAGAGAAACAAGTTTTTTAATTTGTAGTTTCAAATATAATATTGATATTTTCCAAATCAGCTGTCAGGACAGAAAACCTTCAATTCTTCCCATAGCTTAAACCAGCTTTCAGATAATCAGCATCAGAAACCTTGATCACTTTATGCCTCTAATTTCTTATTGAGCTTGGTTGAACATAAGGGCAGTGTGAAAAGGTTCACTGAAATTATAACAGGCATGTGAGGGGCAGAGAGAACAGAAGATCCTAAATCCAGTGACATAAAGAAGTTATAGATAAGACAAATGACTCTAGAAGGTCCCAGGATGGACCAGATGGAAATGATTTCACCATGATCTGGGCACTCTTGAGGCAGGTCTGATGGAAAACTAATTAGAAGCCACTGGATGTGATGACCTCCAAATGAATCTTATACAATGGCCTAAGTAGCCTCCTGATAATTTTATATAAATTTGCTGGATTTACATGAGAGGCAGAAGCAGAAGGGCAGGAAAACTCAAGGGATTATACCACTGATCTCCTCATCTGGAGAATGAGGGGTTTAGGTCTGTGGTTTGACATGCTTTCACCTTTAAACTCATTGGCTCTGAAAACAGCACTGAAAAATCAAAATCTTCAATGAAAAAGATTCATCATCTCCTTATGAGGTTCATACAATTCAACCACATGCAATCACTACAGAATTTGATCCATGGTAGAAACCAGAGCTGGAAAGTATTGCATAATCAACAGCAACTCTCTTATTTTTCAAGATTGAAAAGATAAGTTCTCAGAGTTGAAGGGACTTGTTTTTGGCAAAAGCTCAGAATCTATTTCTGCCTCCGTGGCGCTATATCCCATCCCTCCACCAGGCTGCCTTTCCAGCTGAGGTCCTGCAACAATCCTGGTGCCCTCATCCAATTCCCTAAGCTTCCTGAGTGGGGTCATGTCCTCAAGAGTCAGGATTCAGGAAGATATTATGGAGTTGAGCCCACTAGAAAATTATTCTGTCCTTTAGATGGGATCAAGTAGAAGAAGAAAAGAAGAAATCAACTTGTCCCAGGAAAACCTCATATCACATATGTCACTCTCTTTTTTCACGTTGTTCTCTTAACATAAACCACAGTCCATTCAGATTTAAGGACCAAATTACTCTTGTGAAAGGACAGACAGCTTGATGTTTCAACACCTTAGCTTCCATGCCCTGTGAAACACTGGCTGCCCTGGCTCATGACAGGCGCCATGAACCTTTCCAAATGACCGGAGATCATCCGACAGGCGTCATGCTATTTTCCAATGTTGAAGTTATTATGGATGTTATATGATTCACTCAGCCTTTCGAAAATGAGCTGTCTTGTTGAATTGTTCCTCTTTATTTGATTAGGTCGAAATACTGGGATGGAGCAAACACCTGGCATTGTTAGCACAGTGTTGCAAATATCAGCTCTTGCGTGCATAAAGCTGAGGTCAGATGCTCTTTCTCCATGAGTCATAATGGTCTGAATTAATTCCTGGTAGGTAGTTAGATATGCCCAGTAAATATGTCTTTCTCTTTATCTCATCTGTGCCTTTGGATAAGCTCTAGGATAAGCCAGCATGTGTTGTACAATAGAAACATTATGAAACATGCCCAGTGATTTGAACTAATGCTGATGTGTATACCACCCAATGATGCTCTTCCCTGAATCTCAGTTTAGGGAGCATGTTATTCGTGTCTTCCTGCATAATATGGAGAGGATGTGGGTCAGGTTTTCATTAGTCCCACGGTACAGTGGTCTCCCACCATTTGGGGAACAGGAACCAGTTTTGTGGAAGACAATTTTTCCATGGACCTGGTGGGGGTAATGGTTTGGGGATAATTCAAGTACATTGCATTTATTGTGCCCTTTATTTCTATTTTGTGGCAATCTCAAGATATTATGCCTTGACTTTAGGGGTTAGGGTTCACACTCCTATGAGAATCTAATGCCATTGCTGATCTAACAGGAGGTGGAGCTCCAGTTGTAATGCAAGTGATAGGAAGTAGCTGTAAATACAGATGAAGCTTCACTGGCTAGCCTGCTGCTCACCTCCTGCAGTACAGCCCAGTTCCTAACTGACTAGAAACCCCTGCTATAGTATGTCTTAATCCAAATCAAGGGCTTCCCAGGTGGCTCAGTGGTAAAGAATCCACCTGCCCATGCAGGAGACATGGGTTCCATCCCTGGGTTGGGAAGATCCCCTGGAGAAGGAAATGGCAACCCGCTCTAGTGTTCTTGCCTGGGAAATCCCATGGATGGAGAAGTCTGATGGGCTACAGTCTGTGGGGTCTCAAAAGAGTCTGACGTGACTTAGCAACTAAACAACAACCACCCAAATCAGTTTCCCTTTTTGTGATCAATTCCAATATGCTCTACCTTTCTAATCTGTTATTGGACTTATAAAGGCCACATTCAAGGGACAGTGCCCTTGACAGCCTCTCTGAAATTGAGGCTACTCAGTGGTCTGTCAGAGTTGACAGGACCTTGGGATAGTAAAGCTCAGGAACCGAATTTTATGATTGGTCCATTGGGTTTCTTATTTAAAGGAAGAGTGACAATGCATAAAAATGAGCCTAGATGTTTGGCTACACACACAAACAGCCTGAGTCAGGTTTGCAATTTACCTGCATTTGGACAGAAGGGCTCAAAATCCCAAATTGAAGACTTCAGTTTTCTAGTCCTGACTTTGGTTAAGTTAGATCTAAAAGCATCTACATTTGTCCTGAGACACAGAATTCTAAATCATTTGGCTAACTTCAAAACACACTAAAGAAATTTACTACAAGTTGAGAAGCATGTTTGACTCTTTAAATGATTCTATACACTTCAAGAGGCTCAGATGGTTCTTATTCTGAAAGGTGTGAGATGCTCCTTTTAAATTTCATGCTTGCATCAGCATACCTTGGCAAACATTAGTATTTACTTGGGAAAATGGTCTCCTTTAAAAATAGTTTATTTTTGTCCTCTTCATGAGCATGCTTTAGTTTTGAAAATTATTATTTTTTTTTGGCAGAGAGCCTTGGGGATGTTTTTTGAACTCTAAATTTCAATGTAATCTTAGACAGTTGGGTCGAGTTGAGTGATGTGCTGGGGTTGTGCGTGTGGACACACACGTGTAGGTATATAGAATGCTTTCTGCAACCAGCTACTATCTCATTCCCCAGGGGTGAGGTGGAAAGTTTTTACTTTTTCTTTTTGCATTCATTTATTTTTGGCTGTGCCGGATCTTTGTTGCTGTGGCACGGGTTTTCTCTAGTGGTGGAGAGCAGGGGCTCCTCTCTAGATGCGGTGTATGGGCTTCTCATTGCAGGGGCTTCTCTTGCTGTGGAGCACGGGCTCTAGGTGAGTGGGCTTCCGTAGTTGCTGCTTGCAGGCTCAATAGTTGTGATGCATGTGCTTAGCTGACCTGCAGCATGTGGGATCTTCCCAGACCAGGGATCGAACCCACGTCCCCTGCATTGGCAGGCGGATTCTCAACCACTGGACCACCATGGAAGTCCGAGGTGGAAATTTTTCCTTTCCAAAAATCCTGGAGAACCTCCGATTATATTTACTTTGGGCAAGTGCTTCTATTCTTTGGTCTTATAATGGGTGGGCTTACTTGTAGATAGGGCCTTGGGAAACAAAAGATGATTAATCATTGGAGGCCAATCCACATTTGATAGGTTCAATAGGTTTCCCTGGAACTTCTCTATAGAAGGTTGGGGGAACCTCTCTGTAGAATTTTCTTAGGTTTTTCTATTAGGTAAATTGTAGTATTAATACAAAAACATAGCAGGAGCCTAACGTACTTATTAGGGCTACACTGGTGGCTCATGGGTAAAGAATCCACCTGCCAATGGAGGAGATGCAGGAGACATGGGTTCAATCTCTGGGTTGGGAAGATCCAACTGAGAAGGAAATGGCAGTATTCTTGCCTGGGAAATCCATGGACAGAGAAGCCTGGAAGGTTATATTCCATGGGGTTGCAAAGAGTCAGACACGACCTAAGAGACTAAGCACTCACATATTTACAATGTATCTATTACATATTTTGTAGGTGGTTAATATTTCTAGTTCACTTAGTGACAGGGTGGTTTGTGCTTGGTATTCAGAAAAGTGATTCCAAATTATAAAACTGTCTCTGATAAAACTTGGGTGAAGTTAAAAATCTCTTTCTTTTCTTTACACTGTTTTTTTTAACCAAATAAAAATGTCAGCACTTGCACACTGTAAGGTGAAGATGATGAAGAGATTATTTTTCAAAAATTATCCATGTTTTAAAGACTATAATTTGTACTTTTCTCTTTTTTAAATTGAAGTATAGTTGATTTAACATATCATGTTAATTTCTCCCATACAGCAAAGTGATTCCATAATACATTCCTTTTTATATTCTTTTCCATTATGCGTTATCACAGGATATTTAATAGAAAATAATCTTTATTATATGAAACCCTTACTTGAACTTGATGTTCAGGAATGACTAACGGGTATGGCAGTATTCTCCAGTTTTCTTCCCTGGAGAATCTCAGGGACAGAGTTCATAAGTTTGCAAAGAGTTGGACATGACAGAAGCAACTTAACACATATGCACATAACATCCAGCTACAGAAATTAAATGTTACTTTTCAAACACACTCACTTATTCTTCAAAATGCATGTTGTTAGCGCTCATTAGATTGCAAAAATGATGAGAAGGCTACATTTCGATTAAAGGAAACAGAAAACTTCTAGGTTGACAGAAGTGGAGCTGACAATCTGAGGGCAGGGTTGCTATTTAACACAAGGAACTGGCATTTTCCTATTTCAGGAGATAGTGACAGTCCTCAGGAGTCTCTGAGACAGTTTTGAAGACACAGAGGAAGAGAATAAGGTTTGTTCTATAATCGCTGCAACTCCACCCATTTGAGGGGTAGAGAGAAGCCTCCTTTCCATTGGGCACTCAGGGAATATCTAATCACCACCAATCAGGGGAAGACAACCTCACATCATACCTAAAGAGCTCTGATGTTTCATTTCAAACATACTATTTTACTTAACTTTGGGCAACTTAGAATTATAGCTAGTTGTAAGTACATGACTTTGGAAATCAATATGCATTCTAAAACAATTGATTTCTTACTGTGCTCAGACTTTGCTCACTTAACAAATCTTCCAGTTTTAACTAAGACGCTGGGATGGGTCTCTGAAAGCTGCCAACATCTGGGAACAAGGTACAATCATCAGTGACAAGGGGGACCCTGAAGACCTGGCAGTCATGGTACAGTTATACTGTTCCTTCATTTCTCCACAGAGGCATAATTCTCTGTCTTTGACCTCTTCCCACTTCTAGCTTCCCAGAAATCACCCAAATTCTCCACTGGCCCATCCTTACCATCTTCCTCTGACTCTCAGTTGCATCTCTTAGCAAACTAAGACTCTGATCATAAATTTTCATCCAATTCAACCTATTTGTCTCCTGTTGATATAGAATTCCAAGTTCAACACAGAATGGTAGAGTTGCCAGGCTGAGCAAATACAAATTCAGTTAATGAATTTCAGATAGACAAAGAATCATTTCTCAAGTATGTCTTGAACAACACTGACTTGCACTAAAATAATCAGAAATTCACATTCTTCTTCAGGGCTTTGGGAAGAAAACAGTCATTACTCTTCCTAGAAGTGTTTCCATCTTTTGTTTAGTGTTTCTGTATGTCTTCTACATGTTCCACGGAGCTTCCTAGGTAGAGTTCATGTCAGACCCATCAATCCATCGTCACTTTATCCTTCTTTCTTCACTTTTCTAAACTTTTTATCCTTCACTTTTAATTTAACACTAAGGCCAACACCTCCCATGGCACTCTGATTGATGGTGAATGTTCATTCATTTACAGACCATGACAGTGTGCCCGGGATCACCGTGTACAGGGGGACTAGAAAGTTAAATCTGTTTATCATCTCGATCATCTAAACCGTGAACACACTGACACTATTTCTGGGGTTTTTTCAAAGGCAGAAAAAAAGTTGCCCATATTGTTCCTAACGCAATTCTCATTTCTGCTCCCTCTGAACATCTTGAGGGTTAACTAGTGACTCAGTTTATGGAAACTCACACAACTAGGTAAGACGGAGAAAAGCATGAAATGCAGTAGGTACTGTTCAGCACTTACTACCTACTTACCAGATGATGGAGGTGTAGATTTTCTGGAACTAGGTACTATGTCACCCAAACTGGATGATGAATTTCCTCCTGATTTACTGGAGTAAAGCAAAAGTTTATATTACAACTGATACTTATTTCAGAGATGAAGACATTTGTACTGCTCAATAAACATGATTACTCATTATGTTTTTATTGAACTTTAAATCTGCCTTGCCTCCAAGGAGGCAAAGAGTAATTTCCCAGTGGGTTCCTGAAGTGCTTGAAACATCTGTGTCAAGGTCTCTGTTTCAGATTCAAGGCTTAATTTGAAAAGGCCCTGAGAGACTGAGGAAAACTAGGGTACCTGCTGCACCCGTCCAATTCTCTGCCAGGATCGTAAATAGATTTCTCATTTTCAAGACTCTCAGAAGCAATGCATAGAACCCACAGGCTAACACCCACACTTGTTTCTTTTTCATTGGGTTCCTGCTCCTTTTTCTTGTACACCAGAAGAAGCTTGCTTCTTTTCTGTGTACCAAGATGGACAGTATTCAAGTATTCATGAGCAATCTATTAAAAAAAAACAAAACCCAACACCACAGCAATAATAAAATTTGCCAACCTCTAAAACAGTGATCCTCAACCTTTTTGGCATCAGGGACCGGTTTTGTGGAAGACAATTTTTCCAAGGAACAGAGGGTGTGGATTGGTTTTGGATAATTCAAGTGTGTTACATTTACTGAGTTCTTTGAGCAGGGGGTGGAGCTCAGGAAGTAATTCAAGTGATGGGGAGTGGCTGTAAATATAGATGAAACTTCACTTGTGTTCAGCTCACCTTCGGCTACGGGACCTGGTTCCTGACAGGCCAGGGACTGGTATTGGTTCATGGCCTGGGGGTTGGGGATCCCTTCTCTAGAAGACACTTGAGAGAACATGACAGTGTTCCATGATTTAACTCTCAGAGTGTACCTCTAACATTTCTCAAACATGGCTAACATGGAGTGTTCAACTTGGCTCATTTAGGAATGATCTGAACTTCAGAACTACCAAATTCTAAAGTTTGATCTGAGACATGCTTTAGTGTCTTAAAAACTTTGGAGTTAATAAAAGATCAGTGGCATTGATGCTTTTACCAGTGACCTGCAGGCTAAATGATACACCAGATACATGACCTCCTCACAGAGGTGGATGGAAAAGAGTATTTTTAAAGAGTGACATGGAATTTCAGGGCCAAACATTTATCATAGCCAAGCCCAGGTCTAATGGACAATAATCTGCTACAGTGTCTATGTATTCAAGGGTGAGATTTTGTAAATATTTACATATGTTTAATATTTTATGAATATTCATAAGAAAATACAAATTCCACTAAAATGCCAGGGACAGGCTGAATTTTGTTGCTACCATCCTGGCATTTTAATGTGTAAAAAAGACAAACATCAAAAGCTTTAAACAACCACCAGAGGCCTCTGTGTCTTTTTAAGGTTCTTAAAAGATACCCCAGCAAGTTTAACAAGGACACCAGACACCATGTAAAAGTAGTAAAAAAAAAAAAAAAAAAAAAAAAAAGTGGTATTTAGAGAAGCCATTTCTGGCAGTTATTTAAAAATACCCATTAGCAAGACCAAAACATTTTCTTCCAGAAGTTTGTTTTTTTTCCCCTAACTATTAAGTCTAATTCCAGTTCAAGCTTGAATTTATTCTACATTCTCTTCGAATTTTCATAACAATCAAAGTATTATTTGAGTTGTGTAAAACTGTGACAAACAGTGCAAAGAGTCAAAATGTTCAGAATGCAAATTTGCCCTTCACATTTAATTCCATAAAAATGTCATGTTCTTGAGCCAGGCTCCAATTCTACTGCTTTTGATTTCTGCTGATTTTTTTTTAATTTAACTTACAAATCTGAGTTTTATAATACTGCTGAATTCCAGCTATGCCCTCAAAACAAAAGTATATTTAAAATTTTTGGAGACAAATGTAAAAACCTCTGAATAAGAAAACAAGAAAACAGTATTTTCACCTACTTGGGCAAAAAAAGAAAAAAAAAAAACCTAGTGGATGAAGATGGATGTTCCAAACCACAAAGCATTTTATATTTGACCTGTGTGTGGGCACTCAAAAAAAATTCTTGCTGACACTAAAATATGGTCTTTGACAAAGGCTTTTTTGTCTTCATGGAAATAGATAAAACATAAACTTCAGGAAACAAAAGCTGAGCGATTTGCATTAAAGAAAAGACTTGCCTATATCATATCCTTTAACTGGAAGAAGCAAATCGTGTTCCTGTACTTGTCTGCAAGGCGGTCATTTTCACATTTACTTCATATTCGAGGAGCCCTTCTAATGATTCTAGTGAAGGGCAAACAGCCTTAAGACTCCTAGGAAAAAGGATCATTTGGCCCCAGCTTATTACATAACTCATCTAATTGCTATCTGCAAGGACAATTTTAACTGCTTTCTTACTGAGTTTCTCTTTAAGTGTTAAGCAGTGGGTAGAACTGAAAATTGAGTTTCTTAAGTGAAAATGAAACTCAGAGACCACAAGAGCTGCTCCTTGCTGGTCTCCGAGACTGTCATTTCTAAAACATCTTCCTACCGTGCCAGGCAGCTCCAGATACTGGGATTAGTCACCACGATTGCTTGATGCCAGAGTATTTTCAGCCAAAGATTAGGACTTCAGAATTTCCTCTGCACTAAAGCCTGAATGTAATACTCTATGACCTTAGCTCTTTTCTTTCCTTCATGGTAACAATTAATTTGATTCTCTCTTGAAGAGGATGAAAATGAGAGGCTTGGGTGATGTTTTTAAAATACAGGATTTGTGATGCTCTCAGTAAACCCTATTACCAGTCTGAACTAAAAGAGCCTGAGAGTTATAAAATACTAGAGAATGGAGACGGATGTTCCAAACCACAAAGCACCTTCTATTTGACTTGTTCGTGGGCACTCAAAAGAAATTCTTGCTGACAATAAAATATGGTCATTGACAATGGATTTTGCATCATTATAGAAACGAATACAATGTAAATTTTCTAACACAAAATAAAGATTGGAGATTACAGCAACCAACGGTTCATGAAGGACAGTACAGTATGAACTCTGACACAAACACAATGTTCTTCTCCTACCTGGAGTAGAATTTCCCTTGCTTGGCTCTCTGTTCATGCTGTAGCCTCATGTTTTCTAGCTTGACTGGGCTTGGAATGAATCCGATTTCACAGCCTTCTTTAACCAATCGCCCTATCCACCAGTCATTGTTAAATTTCTAAACAGAAAATCAAAATTGTTCAGATCAGTGCACAGAAGTTAAATGAATCTAATGAATCTTCACATCCTTTATCTTCCCGGTTAATTTTTTTCAGTGGAGAGAAATACGGCAATTACAGAGAACTCTGCCTCAAATATCACAAATCAAGAAACCTGTAGGTTCAGGTGTTGAGTATGCTAAAAGTGAAGTATTTTCGGGATGCTCAACAAACCATCTCTGGCTTGACTCTGCCTTCACTTTCCTGACCATGAGATTTTCCTGAATTCCACTGCAGCTGCTGGCACCCAAGGAGGGTAAACTCTTCCTATTCAAAGATTAACAGCTTTTCCTGACAAGAGACCATTAGGAACTAGGGAATGTTACAGAATGTCTTCCTCTTGTATAATCAGAGTAGTGAGAAGTATTATGAGTGAAAAATACTGACATTCACCTGATATATCTGCTGTCAGAGCGAAATTTATCTTTGTTGCAAACAGGTTTATAATGACCACAATCTGGTGTTCACAAATGATTTCTCGACTTATGCGAATGTTGGCAATTTCTCTCTTGTGCCTGGAATATTTATCCTATATCTTTAAGATCTGGTTTGATGTCCCTCAACTGAATAGTACTTTTCAAGCCTGTTCTTGAACATCTCTGTCAACTACAAATTGGTACTTGCCATCTACCTCTACAAGAACTAAATCATGTGCTGTTGCAGCCACTGACCTTCAACACTCCCTGAAAGGAGTTCAGGGTGGAGAACAGAAAAGAGGCACTCTGTGCTTTGAAAAAACTGGCAGAACAGGTCTTCCAATAGATATTTTCAGGTGCTCATTTTATGAGCCTAATGCTTACATCTCCTCATATCTAGAAAATCACTAAAGTTCTTCATGATGATGACTGCTCCTCATGACTAGAGAAACCTTCTGCAAAAATATGTGCCTGATTGCATATACTCCTCCTTCATCAAAATCACCTAGATACTGGCCTTCTCCCCTGCCGCTTTGGCGCAGTTTCTCAGAGCTATCCAAGGTGCTGTCTCCTGGGCTATAGTCCCCATTTTGGCCCAAACAAAATTTAATTCGTAACTCTTACGTTGTGCTTTTTTTTTCTTTTTTAAAGTCAGCATTTCAAAGAAGAAAATCCATTCTGTTTTTCTTTTCTTTCTTTAAGTATCAGCCCTTGGGATGGGAGCCTGGATTCACCTAACTTTCTGTTGTAGAGTGAAAGTTAAGGGACTTTCTTCCCTGGTGGTTCAGATGGTAAAGAATCTGCCTGCAATGCAGGAGACCCAGGTTCAAGCCCTGGGTTGGGAAGATCCCCTGGAGAAGGGAATGGCAACCCACTCCAGTATTCCTGGCTGGAGAATACCATGAACAGAAGAGCCTGGTGGGCTACAGTCCAGTGGGGTCACAAAGTCGCTCAGACTGAGCGACTGATTCTTTAACTTCCAATTTTTCCTAGTTGAACAGAAATAACAGCTCTTTTGAAAAGTTAGAGAAATGGTAGGCTCTATATTCTCTAGGCTCTTTCAATGGCAGTCATCACCTCTTTTGCTCATAGCCTTTAGTGCCTGAGCAGTTACATAGACATACGCTCCCTAGGACACGCTGTTCCCTAGATGGAAGTGTTCCAATGGTAAATTCCTACAGGTTCAAGAAAGTCTCACGCTCACAGCCTGAGAACATCATGCAGGGGAAATCTCTGGCAGAGCAGGCTCTGATAAATGTTGACTCAAAATAAACCTTAATTAAGAGTGAATTTTTTCCAATTTACAGACTGAGTCATTGTTAACAGAAAGTGGAGGCTTTTGGCATGGTGGAAAAGGGATGTTCCTGATATCTATTTCTTGTCTAATTCCATCCATTTCTCCTTCCCCTACAGCAATTCACCACCAAAGAAGGAGAAAGAGCACCAGCGGTCTGAGTTCAGACCTTGTAAGCAGAGAGGAGAGACCATGAATTCTAGATACTATTATTAAACTCTCCCCAGATGCTTAAACTTGGGACATGAGGCGCAAATGACACATGGTCAAGGTTAAACATTAAAAGAAAAAGTACAGGTTAAGTATAAAAAAAGGATCATCTACTCCAGTGGTTCTTGATTTCTGGGTCACAGAGCCCAGGGGAGCCTTGAGGTTATTCCAAGAAGCCTGTGACTTTTTTCTTCTTTAAAAAGGTTATATTTATTTTGGAAAAGGTTGAGAGGCACCGATTTCATGTGTATGTTATATAATCACAGCTATCCATGTGCTATTTCACAGCAATGAGAAGTAAGAAGTGATGTTTCAAGGTAAAAAAAAAAAAAAATCATGCAGCCAGAAATTGCAATTATTCTCCTTACTTCCTTAACATGCAGAAAATCTTTTGCTTCGAATGAGATGGCCATGCCTGGCACGGGAACATCATCTTCGTGGGCAGCACTGTAGCTGACATTTGTCCGAACTGCAAATGCAACGGGCTTTGTCTAAAATGGAAAAAGGGGGAAAAAAATAAAAAAAGAAGTGTTCCTTCTCTTTTCCCCTCAAAATACAAACATACACGGAATAACTGTTGTCACAGTTGTTGTTTTTCCTCAATTTGGTTCTTTATCACAAAACACCATCTTAGTATTTCCAACATGGGAAACCTTTGGGCACTCAGCCACATACACCCATTTCTGAACTAGAAAAAGGTCACTGTGCTTTATGAAAGCACTCTTAGCAATGAAGGTAGATATGAACTACTGAAATATGTGTTTACAACATAAAAACTTGTAACAAATGGAAATCAGGAAACATACATAGGTTTGAAATGCCAAGTTCTTGTATTTCAGTGAAAAAGACTTGGCCACTGGCATATCCACCCCCAAATCTACCTTAATTAATAATAGAAGAGGGAACTTCCCTTGTGGCCCAGTGGTTAAGAATCCATCTTCCAATGTAGGGGACTCTGGTTTGATCCCTGGTTGGGGAACTAAGATCCACATGCCATAGGGCAACTAAGCCCTCATGCCACAACTAAGACCCAATGCAGCCAAAAATTAAAAAAATAATTTTTTTTAATGACATGATTCTAAAACATACTTTGTTTTGCCTGAAGAAAGAACCAAGGAATATATCTTATGACTATTAAAAAATATATTCATGGCTGCTGGGTATCATGAAAGCAATGACTTTCTATTCTAATATTTGTCCTCCTTGAGTTTCCTCAGTCACTAAAGATGATAACATTCAGTAAGCTATTCTTCACTATTTGATGCTTTGCAAATTTACAGATACATTTTGTCCTCTGTCAAGCAGTACCTGCTTAATCACAAGGTTAAAAAAATAACAGGTAAACTGAGAAATAGTGAAAAGAGGTATTAACTAGCACTGGGTTTCTTTCACAATGTGGGCAAGAGGATTTCTTCTGAGCTGTTTCTTCCTATTCAAAGAGCTCTTCATCAGGACTGCTCATGAAGGAAAAGGGGGAACTGGAATAGAAAGAACCCATCTTCACTTCTGAATTTTCCATAGTTAATCTGTTCTAGCTGACTACTGTCTGGGTGAGGGCTGAGTTTATTAGAGCCATGGTTACGTAGATTCATCCACAATATGCAGGAAAGAGGTCCAGGTTCTAGATAAAGGCACAGTAGACAGGAAGGGGACTGAAAGACATGACATCCAATTCGTGACATCCATTACGAGTTTTAATAGTAGAAGAGGGCTGCTCCTCGTATGGAAATATGAACTTTAAAGAAGAACAGTAAAAGTTGCCTAATAGTTCTACCACTGAAACACAATCCTGGTTTTTTTAAAAAAATTATTTATTTTTCCTTGGAGGATAACTGCTTTACAATGTTGTGTTGGTTTCTGCTGCACAACAACAGGGATCAACCATAAGTATACATATGTCCCCTTCCTCTTAAGCCTCCCTCTCTCCCCATCCCGCCCCCTAGGTCATCGCAGAGCACTGAGCTGAGCTCCTTGTGCTAAGCAGCAGCTTCTCACGAGCTGTCTATCTTACACACGGTAGTGTATATATGTCAACGTGTGACAATGCAAATGGTATTTCAGGGGGAAAATGGAAATATCATTTTAAATAATATAGAAATTTGTTTCCCATAGCTATAACCATAATGTACCTAATTCATGTCCAGTTCTTAAAGTAACATAGTAGTTTTTCCTGTGATACACTTCTTTTTACTCTACCATTTAAAAAATTACCTTGGTAATTCAACCCCTTTTTCGACGTTTAGGTTTAGAGGTTTTTTCATTATGATAAATATTCTGCTTTGAAAAATCTTTGTACAAATAGCCTCTTTCTATTTAGGATTCTCTCCTTGGGATAGATTCCCAGAGGTAGCATGAGTAAGCCATGAGTTATCAAGACCTTTTAAAATTCTATTCCAAACTACTGTCCAAATGGGCTCTGCCATTTTAAACTGCAACCTGCAGGATATGTTGGTGCCCTTTTCCCTAAGATGCAGTTTTAATTAGACTCAGTTTTACTACTAGAAATAGGATTTTCTGAGTATAATCAATCCACTATTGGAGACAGTTTCTAATCCCTAAAATATAAATCCAAGATTTTTTTTTTTAAATGACATGATCTCTCATCTCTCTCAGGGACTTCTTAAGAAGGATTCTTAAGAAGGATTCTGTATTCTTGGAGGATACAGAATTTAAGTGTAGTGCACGTGCGCACGTGTGTGTACACACACACACATATTTAAACCACTGGAAGATCTAAATTTTAAATGTACAACTCTATAAAGGATCCTATGAAAATCTCTTCTCTTTTTCCCAATGACCAACTTTTCAGACACTGGAGTGGTAGGAAGAGGGAACACTGAGAAAAGAAAAATAAAGAGGTGGTGAAGGTTAGCATATAATAACCAGGGCAACAGATGATGATTTTATGTTCTTAGATTAAGATTACAGTTCAGAGTGTGACTCCCCACCTGGCTCAACTCTATGACCAACCATGCTTCCCTTAGATAAGGAGCTTTACACAGCAAGCAGTATAGTAGCCCGGCTGGCAGGTTCAGGGGGATGGATTGTGGGCACTTCTGGGGCCACAGGACTTGATTATTCCCACAACCTAAAGAAGCTCCACTGGCACCTTGGAAGCTGACTCATGGAAGCCCCTAAGTGCCAGTCAGAGATATGTTTTAAGTTTACAGCAGGAGCAATTATTATTTTTTCATAGTCTTCTAGAATCACTAGACCTAAGGCTGTCAGAAAATAATTATTGTTAAGTAGGAGATCATTAACTAACAAATCTCTTTGGATCCAGCAATTCCACTTCTGGGCATATATCCAAAGAAATGAAACAACTACATCAAAGAGATATCTAGACTCATGTTCATAGCAGCATCATTCACAATAGTCAAGACATGGAAACATCCTAAGTGTCCACCAACAGATGAATGGATAATAAAGATGTGGATACACACATACGCACGCAGGAATACTATTCAGCCATGAGAAAGAAGGAAATCCTGCCATTTGCAACAACATGATGGACTTGGAAGGCATTAGGCTAAGTGAAATAAGAGAAAGACAAACACTGTCTGGTCTCACTTATATGTGGAAGCTCAAAAACAAAACCAAACCCCCAAATCTCTGGTCATGAAATAGGATAAGACAAATTATCACAAATTCATGGCTTTCTTTTGAGCTTGCTTCCCAAACAATAATTTAATGAGTTAAGAGTGAAGCTAATCATTTTAATGGCTACAACAATGTTTACGTACAGTTAATTAAAAATGTGCTAATGATGGAATATCTACTGTTAAAAAGCAAAATGAAATTCACTCAAATAAGAAAAATAGAATTCTGATGATCAATAGTTACTTGAATTTTCAGGCATCAATTTCTTCATTTCTTAATACATTTTATTATGCTAAATAGCAAATTATGTTTTTCCATTTTCATTCAGAGACCATTAATAGTTAATAACATATAAGGGAAATCCATAGTTGGTTTTCAAGTCTACAATGGGTTTTTCTTAAATATTAAGGAGTTCCAACTTGTAGTATTTTTTAAAGAAATTGAAAAGTGTAAAGAATTTAAATGACCCAGATGTCTATTATAAGAGACTGCAGAAAAGACAGTTTAACATTTTAATGAGTCTCTGATCCATTTTCTTATACATAATAATTTCCTATAAAACTTGCTATGCTTTTCTATGATTTTAAATGACTCAAGTAGGACTATAACCATTGAGACTTACAATAGAATTACTCAGACAAAGATATGGTGAGGTACTTTCAGAAATAAGATCAGAGCTATCTGCTTTATTAATACTTGCCTATCATTGACCTTTTAAAAGATCTTTCATAGTTTATTATAAAGTATCAAGGGTAGCCTGAGAAGTCTTTAATAGCAAACCAAAGCAAACCACAGTGATAAAAAGAATGTAACAACTATTTATATATCCTGATAACTGAACAATGAATCAGACTGAATAAGCAAATAATCACAGATTTGTCATAAAATAAAATTTACATATGTAGTTAACTGATTTGAGAAATTCAAGTTTCCTGTCTAAAATAGATTAATTTAATGAATATTTATTAAGTACATGCTTACTATCTCAGGTTCTTACCCTCACAAAGTTTAACCTATATTCTAGTAGAGGAGATATCATAAGCAAGATAGTTGATGATTTCAAATAAGGAATAGAGTAAAACAAAGTTATATGAATAGAGTGACCACGAGCAGAAGACAGACTGGCAGTGTGAAATGAGGTGTTTAGGGAAAGCCTCTTTTGAGTTTTCAATTATCTCTTTATTCACCCACCCACCCACGCATCTATCCACCCACCCACCCACCCACCTATCTGTCCATCCATCCATCCACCCATTATTTATGTGTCAGGCACTGTTTTGGACAGTTGGATTACATCAATGACCAACAGAAACTAAGATTCCCTGCCCTCTCAGGGCTTACATTCTAGAGGGGGAGAGACAGATTATAAATAATAGACATAATAATCAAATAAAGTAGACAACATGTTAGAAAGAGACAAATTCCGTGGAAAACATGGTAGGGGAAGTCAGGGTGCCAGGTGCCAGGGCAGGGACAATTTTCCAGGGTCGTATAGATAGCCTGCCTTGAGGAGGTAGTGTTTGGACAAAAGCATGAAGAGGTAAGAGAATGCAGGTGCTTGAACTCCAGGCAGAGGGAAGAGCCAGTGCAGAGGCCCTGAGGTGGGAGCAGGTCAGATGAGCTCGGAGACGACAAGGAGCTCAGAATAGCACAGTGCAGGGGGCCAGGGGAGCTAACAAAAGATGAGGTCAGAGCTCTCAGGTGATACCTGACTTTGTAGCTCAGAGTTAAGATGTGTGGCTTTTAGCCTAAGCGAGATGAAAATCACTGGAGGGTTGTCAGCAGAGGAGTGATGTGGTCTGACATGTTAAAAGGACTGTGATGGCTGGTGAACAGAAAAGATTTGGGGACTTCGAAGTAAAAACAGGAGAATCAGTTGGAGATGCTCACA